CTGTGAACCCCCAGGGAGTCGATAACCCTTGGCGAACGAAATATTTTAGGGGCAGATGTAAGCCCCCAGGGAGTCGATAACCCTTGGCGAACGAAATATTTTGGGGGCGATGTAAGCCCCCAGGGAGTCGATAACCCTTGGCGAGCGAAATATTTGGGGGCACTGTATACCCCCAGGGAGTTGATAACCCTTGGCGAGCGAAATATTTTGGGGGCAGATGTAAGCCCCAAGGGAGTCGATGGCGGTGGTGCCATAGGTGGCTCCACATGTGGAGCAGGTGCTGGTATCGCGTTGGGAGCATTTGCTCCCATCGTGGCGATATATTGGGTCTCGGCCTCTGTGGCAGCGCGAGTTGAAGCTTCTGCTATCATGCGTTGAAGCGCATCCTCGGTTATTTGAACCATTCGAGGAGCAGGGAGTGGTGGATCGGCGAGTGGTGGGTCCCAAGGGGGGATCACCTGAACCTCGCGAGGCGGATCCATGGGATGTGGAGGAGGTGGCAAGCCAGAGCCTCCACAAGGTGGGAGGTCGTTAGCTGTGTCATTTTCTCTCCGAGCAGACGCCTCAGGAGGATCTTGTTGGCTACGTGATCTGGTTTGCATCGTTCCCACAGACGGCGCCAAAATGATGATGCTAATTACTAGCTCACCTAGGGTGGTGTAGAAAACGAACTGGGAGAGCAAAGCGGATCAGTAGCTTGACAACTTGATGATCCTGAGGTACCTGCCAGATGAACACACGTGAACTAAGCCGGGGGTTGATCCGGCGGAAACCCCTCCGACGCTCAAGTCAGACGTGCTGATCATAGAAATAGTCCAGAGAATACCATTAGTAGTATTGCTCAGATAATAGGACGTACCTTAATAAAATGAGTAAAACCTCTATTTATATGTCGTTTATTGGGTTGGGTTTGCTTTGTTGGGCCCAAACCTTACTTGAAGGTGTTTGGGCCTCGGTGATATTAGTCTTCGATATTGGGCTCGTAGCCCAGTAGGTAAAGAAATTGTAGGCCCATTGGGTTGGCCCAATTAGGCATATCAGTATGCTACATGCAAGACTAGAAAACAACTAGGCATGATGGACTTAATGCAAATGCGGACAGATTCAATGCAAAAGCTTTAAAAATTAATTCCTCTTAAACTACTCATGAAAATGACCCCAAAATAATACCATACCATCTAACACGGGTCTAGATCACTCAGTTAAAACAGTTTTGAAGAATGCATGGCCATTTAGGAGAAATAATTAAAATGACACAGTCACTCGGTTTAAAATCCAGAACAGGGGAGGGAGTTTTGAAAATTCATAATAAATTCCTCACTGACCCAAAAACTAAAAAATTTGACCCCAAGGCAGAAAAATAAGTTTAAAACATTTTCCAATTGGAAACAAGGCATTTGAGTGAGTGAACTCTAGTTATACCAGAAAACACCCGAATGGCACTGTTTCAATGCAGTAGTGAGAAATAAATCATAACTAATTGAATACTTACCCAAATCATGAAAAAGGCCTATAAAAATGACGAGAACAGAGAGATGCAAAGACTCCTAAAATTTCATGATTTTCTAAGCAGAACACCTATATGAAAATAATTTTAGAACATGGAGACAAAAGACGAAGAAATTACTAGCCGAAAGCATGCATGCATATAGATAGTGAAAATTCGCTTTCGCTTACAAAAGACTACGGATTACCGATTAATTATCCAAAATTGGGTAATGCTAATTACTATTACACATATCGTCTTTTAATAATTCCCACCGATCGGAGGAAGCGAACGGTAGAAAATACCTAAAACCGTATCAAAAGTTCTTACAAGCATATTATACAAATAAAACCACATGACTAAATTAAGAGCCAACACAATCCACAACCCCTCCATACGATCTCCTTCCGATTCTCGAGCTCGATTCCCAACTTCACTCCTCGGGCCCTAAATCGGGTATACCTACAAACATACAACACCTATATGAGCCTTTGAGGACTCAATGAGAATCTTGAAGTATTATCGAATACACATAGCACATAGAGCATACATATATCTATATCTATATATATATATATATATATATATATATATATATAGCAATCATATACTTCCCTTTTTCGTCGGCGTTCTTCATTCACATAATTGCCACACGCATAGAGTGAGATAATTCCCACTTTTATAACCCTATGATCCCAAGACCATAGAGTGAGAATATCCCACCTTTATAACCCTATGCCATGACACGTATTGAAGATAATAGAAAGAATTTCCCACCTTTATAACCCTACGATCCCAAGACCATAGAGTGAGATTTTCCCACCTATATCATCAACACCATAATGCAACATGCATGACATGAAAAATTGTCGGGAATCCCTCGGAAGAGTCAATCTAAGTTACCGATAAATAACCTCACATATATATCGAATCATGTCTATCTACGTGGGATCAAACCACCCCTAGGCCCTACGGTGCCGACTCGCCGTACCCGGGAAATTTACCGTAACCTTGAAAGACTTTCCAACATAGTTTTATCTTTTAAAATTTCATGACACCCATGCACCCACCCATGCACCCTTCTACTTACCCTTCTCTCATCCTCACACCCAATGATTCACATAAGCAAGCAAGAGCACATAGAAAATACACATAAAGTTTCACAAAATCATTTAGCCATAAAAACATAAAGTAACCGAAATCTTAACATGCAAAGACAATCTAACATCAAAGTTCACTAAATCTAGCATTTTTACAAGAATTAAATTCAAGACTTCCATCTTTACATTTATTCAAGTAAATACACTAGATCTTCACATGCAAGAGTATTTTAAATCAAATTAGCACAAATTCTTAGTCATTTAATCATTTTACATAGAAAACACTAGATCTTAACATGCAAGACTTTAGATCAACCATCAATCACTAGATCTTAACATGCAAGACCTTAGATCAACAATCAATCACCAAATCTTAACATGCAAGGCCTTAGAACAACAATCAACACAAGATCAACACATACAAGATAGCAAATAAACCAAATAAGCAATTTAAGCATTTTTCCCCCAAAAATTCGAAAGTTTCATGGCTAGGCCAAAAATTCATTTTCTTTTCACAAATAACAATCAAACACTAGATTAACACATGCAAGGCACTAATTAAGCCAAATAAGCAATTTAAACATTTTTTCCCCAAATTTTCGAAAGTTTCATGGCTAGGCCAAAAATTCATTTTTCTTTTCACAAATCAACAATCAAACACTAGGTTAACACATGCAAGGCCTAATTAAGCCAAATAAGCAATTTAAACATTTTCCCCCAAATTTTCGAAAAAATCATAGAACTTCAAGAACAAAGTTATCTTTTCAAAACACTAACATGCAATCATCATCTAAAACATATAATCACATAATATGCAAGAATAAACAATGAAAACGCATAAAAACACATAAAAACCGAAAATACTAGTGGTGTTGTAGGTTTGAGCAAGAATTCAAGAATTCTCACCTCTACTCTTTAGGAGAAGGATTTGTTAGCTCTTTTCTCTCTAATACAAGAAGAGATTAAGAGTTAGATTAGGCATTAAGAAAATAAGAAGAAAAACAAAAGAAAGTGGAGGAAGAAGAGCTTTGCTCTTTCGGAAAAGAAGAAGAAAGAAGAGGGAGGAGAAGCTTACTCCTAAGCTTGGCCGAAAATTCTCATTTTGTTGAAATAGAAGGAGACCTTAAACTTATAGATAGTGAGATTGGAGGTGGAGAATGTATTTTGATCTTGGGCATTGGATGTATTTATAGAGTTTTTGGAGAGTTCAAAGCCAATGGAGAAGAAAGGGAAATACATCTTTTTGTGGGGGTGATTTTGCAATTTTCGAAAGTTGAGGTGGTGGTGGTTCTAGGGTGGTTCAAGCTTGAGAAGGTGGTGGCTATGGTGGTGGGGGTGAGGCTGCCGAAATGGAGGAGGAAGGGAGAAGAAGAAAGACCTTTGGTCTTACTTAAAGGAGTGAAAAGCATGCCTAGTCTATAGAGTAGGGAACTAGGCTTGAGTATTTCTTTCTATGCTCAAAGTACAACCACACTAATGCATGTTTTTCTAATAATTAATATGCAAAATTTAAAAATCATGTGTGTGTGTGTGATGTCCGAAAATTCAAGAAAATGTGGGGAGGATTTTCTAATTTTCGACATTAATTAAAAATCCTAAAATGCATGATAAAAATTTATTTTCTAAAATTTTGTGCATGCATAAATGTGATGAAATGTTCAGTTAAATTCATTTGCAAGAATAAAATCCTAATTCATGAAAATAATTTATTTCGAAATAATATCTCGAAATATTTCCTAAGCACATAATTCACATAATCACATAATTCACATAATCACATAATGCACACAATAATTCACAAAATCATATATTTCACATAATCACATAATTCACATAATCATATATTTCACATAATTACCTAATTCACGTAAATATTAACCATGCAAGAATTATTATTATAAATTCTAATTTCACAAATATGCACATAGAGGTGGTAAAATAAAATAATATTATTTTACCGAAAATGCAGGGTGTTACATAGGGTATATTACGGCCACCTCATGAGGTAAGGTCTAATTACGAAAAAAACCCCTCATGTCTGGGTAACTACAAGTCTACAACTACCCTTTCAACTATAAATCTTCTTATACATCCACCCTTATGGTGTTAAATACAACATAATCTTCTAGATTTCTTAGAATATTCTTTAGTTTATACTGTATTTTGTGCAAAAATGTAGTTTCGGATGCACCACAATCTGATATTTACAAGTTAAAATACACATCTTATGATCATCTTATTTCAAAATATGGAGCTCGAATGAGATAAAAACGGGAACAAACTGGAGAATATTCTACATAATCTAAAAGAATATCCCACTAAAATAACTTTTGGAATTTTTTGGATGCAAGAGAATTTAGTTAGGACTGTTTAGTAATTTCCATAAAATAAAAAAAAATGGTCCCGGACCCTGAAAAAACCCTGCCAAGTGCAAACCGGACTACAGAGAGATCCCCCGCAGACTCGGTCAGTCAGTTCATTTCTGATTGCTACAATTATTAATTACCCTTTACACTTGTTCCTCTCTCTCTCCTCTCTCTCTCTCTCTTTCTCTCTCTTCCTTTACACTTGTTCCTTCCTGAACCACTGTGTTTCCTTCTCTCTCCTTCACACCCCCACACGCCCCGCTACACACAGATATTCACTGTAACTTATTTTTTTTTTCTCACAACAATGGCGGCGATAACGAATCTGCCGAGTGGGACGCCTGCTTTCGCTTCTCAAGTCGATCGTCTTTCTTCTGCGAAGAATATCAGTGGCTTGTTTATCAAATGCGAATCGAGGAGGAGCCGTCAGAGAGTTTGCCTTACTAGATCAACCAGGATTACCAATAGCCGCAGCTATGGCGACGGGGAATCTAACGCCGTCGATACTACGTTCTGGCCAAACGGCTCTGCAATATCCGCCGTAAGTTATTCGTGTAATAGACTTCTTTCAGATGTGAATGTTTGATACTCTGCCATCTCTGTAGAATCGGATTTGTGTGATGCTTGTTGCTTTGGGCTTTGGATTCAAATTGTATGGTTTTGTTTGATTTGACGTCAGATTTGAAGAAATTTCACTACTTGGATTACGTTTTGGGGAATGCATGTTAAGTGGTATTGTTACTAATATACGAATTTTGAATTGGGAAAAACATGTTTACTGAATCGAAAGATAACCTAATTTGCATTAATCTGATAACTAGCATGGAAGACAAATTCGTAAAGATGAAGGGACAGTCTTATCCGGTTTCCCCTTAACGTGGTCTGTGTTAGTGTCTTATTTGGATTTTAAGATATTATTTCAGCTACATGTTCGATCGATTCATATCTCTTATTCCAATAGAGTTGTTGAAATGAACTAGCTATTTGTCAATCACTCATTTATTCATTGTTTGCTGGAGAAAACATACATTTTTCGTTTTCATATTTATCGTTCTTTTGATCGAAAAGAAGTTCTCTAGCCTCTACATCTCATTTACGTGCTTTTTCCTTAACGTTATTTGGATCTCATTTTCCCATTTTTTTGTGCTTTGGATTTATAAACGAAAGAAAACACTATTGGTTTTTCGATTATTTCATTCTTTTGTCAGTCACTGTATGCCTTCCATCTTTAATGTGATGAAGTATATCCTAAAAGGAAAGTGAAATTATTTTAAATTTCAGTCTAGCAACGATGGTTTCCGGCTGCCTAGGGTTCGTGTAAATTCTCAAAGAAAAACAAAGATAGTTTGCACTATCGGTCCTTCCACCAGCTCACGTGAAATGATCTGGAAACTGGCAGAAGCTGGAATGAATGTGGCACGCTTAAATATGTCTCATGGTGACCATGCATCACATCGGAAGACCATAGATCTGGTCAACGAATACAATTCTCAATTTGAGGAGAAGGTCATTGCTATAATGCTAGATACCAAGGTATGTTTTTTTATGGCTCACCATGTTAGTTCTAAACCAACCTGTTTATACAGGATTTCACATACTCACATACACAAAAGGGACAATTTCTTACAATTTTTTGTTTCTAATTTGGGAATTGCATTCGTTTTTTGCCCCCAGAGAAAAATACTGTACGATGGTCGATGGATTTGAATTATTACGGGGCATTATCATTCATTTTCATACATATAACACTATAAACTTGTGTTTAATTGCGTATGAAAATTTCTCTTTTACATTTTTCATCTCCATCAGAGTGTGGCACTTTATATTTAAATTAGCATTAAACTGTGCTACAAAAGACCCTGCAGAATTTCATGCACTTGTTATCTCTAGATACAATTCTGGAAGTGGTTATGGAATCAGTCATTTAATCAACCAGCTAATAAGGCCCAATAACGTAGATCTACTGGCATTTTTATTTGCAATAACTATATTTGGATTATACTCATCCTGGTGTTTTGTTACTTGAGGTTGTTTCTTACTCTGTCTCTCTCCGTGTTGTGTGTGATAGTGCTAGGTTGTTGTTGTGTGTGTATTTGGGGGGGGGGGGGGGGGGGGGTGTTTTCTGTTCTCGTATATTAACTTGAAATCTCAATGATTTTCATTTCAGGGTCCTGAGGTTAGAAGTGGAGACTTACCACAGCCAATCTTTCTTGACGAGGGACAAGAGTTCAATTTTACCATTAAAAGAGGAGTCAGTACAGCTGACACTGTTAGTGTTAATTATGACGACTTCATAAATGATGTTGAGGCTGGGGACATTTTACTTGTTGATGGTTAGTGAAAACACCGTAAAGTAGTGCACTTGTCACTAGTCACTCATGTTCTCAGAATTATATTCTTTATTAGCATGAATTGTGTTTTTTACATCACTTTGGATGTGATATCTACTAACTGAAAGTCACTTTATTGAAGTTAAAATCTCCTACATGCTTTACATGCAGACTGTGGGAACACATTAGGTTGGATTCAGTAATTTGAATCTTGTTTCTTACCTCATAATCATCTTTGTCTTCCAGAGCCATCTGAAGGTGCTAATTACGTTACAAGTATAAAGGTTTTTGAATTACTTCTAAATTGATGCTTTTATAAAGTTGAAGTGCCTCCTTGTTTAAGATCTAATGGAGTAATTGTGAATCCAAGTTCGTTTTTCAGTTACCGTAGCATGCTGTTGTCAGGAGACATTCAATGCTTGTTCCACCACTTAAGTTTTGATGCAATGTGGCTTCTTTCTGTTACTAACTAAAACTCAGTGAACTGAAATTAACAGTGCCATCTGTTATAGGTGGTATGATGTCATTAGCGGTGAAATCAAAGACAAAGGATGTGGTGAAATGCGAAGTAGTTGATGGTGGAGAACTGAAGTCAAGGCGACATCTCAACGTGCGTGGGAAAAGTGCGACTCTGCCTTCAATAACAGGTTGATGGACTTCTCAGTACTCTGATGCATGAAATTTCTGTTTTTATTGTTTTAACGACCAGATTGGAATTATTCTTTAATTATATCCGACATCCATCTCCACAGACAAAGACTGGGAAGATATTAAGTTTGGCGTGGATAACCAGGTAGATTTCTATGCTGTTTCTTTTGTCAAGGATGCTAAGGTGGTCCATGAATTGAAAGAATATCTCAAAAGTAAGCCCTCTGATCAGTTGATCATTCATTCCGTTTCTTTGTCTGGTTTTCTTCACTGATCTTTTCAAATCTCATCTGCAGAGTGCAATGCGGATATTCATGTGATTGTAAAGATTGAAAGTGCTGATTCTATACCAAATCTTCACTCTATCATTTCTGCATCGGATGGGGTTAGTGTAATCTATGATTCTATATGACAATTCCTATTTAAGCACTCATTCTCAGACTAGTTAATTCTTTCATGAATCAACCAAAAAAACTAAATGATGTGCGAAATTAAGTATAGGTCCCATCACATGAGTGATTGTGATTGTCTTGAGATCATGATTCTCAGGACCTCCAAAGATGACCGATACTGTTGAGATGATAAATAATAAATATTTAATTAGTAGTGATTTTATGTAAAAGTAGATCAAGTACCGTGCTGCTACCTTATCTTTGAATGCAAACCTGAGTTAAGTTAGATTTTAGGAGATCTCTTGCAAGGATTAATAACTAGATCCCCAGGGGTTTCTTAATAGGGGTTAGTGTGGATGTCATGGCAAATGAGTTCATTAATGAATTGTGGATAATTAGGTCTGTCTTTGTTTTATTTGTTGGCTTTTTAGGAAGTTTTTGGCGCTGATGAATAGGAAATATTACAACGGAGAGGAGAAAAAGTCCTCGAAACATAAACTTGCAAGCTTTAGGAACTCCCTATAAGTATTTTTGGTACTGGAAATGATATAATAAATAAAAAATGAATTTACGAGGAAAAAGAACTTTTTGTATTTTACGTTTCTTCATGTTAATTACTAATAAGTGAGTGGATCCACATGCTTATCTACCTAAAATTATGTTATGTCAGATAAATTTTGAATTAATAGACCCACAAAGCAAGGCTCCATTTAGATTTGATGATTTGAAGTTAAGGATATCAAATCTACAATACTAAATTGATCGAACCCGTTCGGATAAAATCATATTACAATACTTAAACCCTTGATTCCTGTTTTGAGCATTTTTTTGATTCATTATGGTGGATTTCAAACCCATCATATATCTATCAACTAAAGATTCTTCCCCAGATCATTTGCTCAATCCAGATTATCCGATCCACGTGCGACCTTAATATTTGGTTTAACTGATGCAAGGGTATGGAAGTTCGACAAAAAAAAAAGATAAAGTGAAATTTTAGATATTCATCAAAAGATCATATTTTCTTTACATTAGTTTAAAATTGAGAAAAAGACTAAGATGGAGTCGATCCAAGAAACTATAACTAATCTTCAGGACTTTCTTATTCTTCAAATGCATGTGCAAATGAGATGTATTGATTTTCTACTGTAACAGTGCTGAAGTACTGCAATAAACTTATAATACTAGAACTTACTTAAAACCGCACGAACGACCACATAGGCACATATCCCTACCAAACCTTGCCTACTCTAATATTGCTGGATAGTCTTTCCGAAGATAATTTCATACCTGTTTTGTTTCTTTTCCTTCATCTAGTTTTGGTGTATACATGCTATTTATCAATCTTGAATCAAATAAAATGTATCATATTTTGTAAAGTGTATTCAACTCTTGCAATCATTGGTGATGATAGGCAATGGTGGCTCGGGGTGATCTTGGAGCTGAACTCCCAATTGAGGAAGTCCCTTTGTTACAGGTAGTTGATGCTAGAAAATCAGAGTTACTATAATTCTCTTTAAATGTTTTACTGTAATTCGTAGTCATGGACATGATATTCCAATTTTAATATTCTTAAATTTCTTTCTTGTCTGTTTGAAATTAATCAACTGTCAAAATTTTAGAATTTCTTTCATATAAGGCCCATGTCCCGTAATTTCCCTTTGGTAAACCACGTCAAAACTATTGGGGTTGGAGTTTTCTTGTGTGTATGTGATTGACGGGTTGCACAAGCATCATTTTCCAAATTAAGTATAATCACATGGTAGATATTACCTGCATTTTCTAAATTTTGTTGGAGATACCAATTTAACTATCCTACTTCATTTGTTGTTTGATTAATTGAATTGGTAAATATTTATAAAATGCCTTTATTTTATTTATTTGGTAATTGGTATGTAAAAATATACAAGGCCTTATATTATATTTTCCCCTTAGGACTCTTGGACCATGGGACCGGCCTTACAATTGATATAGTCCAAGACACAAATATAAGAGAGAGGAAACATATGTTTTTTATAGAAGTGGTTTTATAATGTTTGTTTGTACGGTCTATGACTAAGTCTACTGTGTAATGTGGCACCTGCCTTCCTGCTATAATGTTATCTCTAATTTGTATGAGAAACAATGGGTAGGATTCATGTAAGCTAGGCTAACTAAAACAGCACGTGGTGCTTAAAACAAGTTATTTTACTTTTAAACAGGAGGAAATCATAAGAAGGTGCAGAAGCATGCAAAAGGCAGTTATAGTAGCTACAAACATGTTAGAGAGTATGATTAATCACCCAACTCCGACAAGGGCTGAAGTTTCTGATATCGCAATTGCAGTACGAGAAGGTGCTGATGCAGTAATGCTCTCAGGAGAAACGGCTCATGGGAAGTGAGTTTTCTTTGGTCCTTAGAGTACATAAATGTGACATGGTTAATGAGATATGCTATTGCTGTTTGGAAGATGATGTTATCTTTTTCTTGACATTTTATCTTGAAGTGAATCTTCATGTCTGATTATTTGTCTTTGTTTGCGCATTAGCTTTCCAGTATTCCTTGGAGCACAAGTCTTCCATTCCGTTAACCATAAATCAAAATCTCTAGAACCATATAGAAGTCACTCAAATTCGTGGATTGACCTCTTATTTTTGCCATCCGTTTGGCCTCCACGTACCGTTAATGTGTTTCATGTTTATGTTCATTAGTTTCTGTCTGTTTATGCTGATATGATATAGCTCATGCAGACTATGATGACAAATCCTTCATCATAACATTATTTTCTGCATTTGTATTAGATTTCCACTGAAGGCTGTTAAAGTAATGCATACTGTGGCACTGAGGACTGAGCAAAGCCTACCCATCACCATCAGTTCGCCAGGTCAATCTGCTGTCTACAAGGTGCATATAGCATTTCTTTTAGAATTCCCGATGGCAATTGATTGAGGAATGTTATATCAGTATTAACACATTGCACTTTATAGTTTCTGTAATCGTCATCTTCATCCCTAGCTCTCCCTGTTAATGGGATTTAAATAGAACTTTCCCTAGCCAATCAGAATGCTTACATGGGGACTTTTGGCCTTTAGAAATATATATTTATACTTGCATGACCTAGGTTCATTTCTATGCAAAGATGATGTTTGCAGAAATGGAATACACAGGATTAGATTTCTGATGATTATATTATCGAAAAGGATACGTTTCAAACATTTGCATAAAACATTTCAACCGTCAGTTCCCCGTCCTTCGACCAGGATGTATATAATAAATTGAAAAATTAAAAAGAGCTATAAATTGAATATCGATAGATATAACAATTTGTTATTTGGTATTGTTCGGTAAACGGAAACCAAAATCTAACTATCTAGAAGATTTAAATCTAATATGAAAAAAAAGTTTCTGTTTGATTTTTGTACACCATATTTTATTTTGGTTTTGTTGAATGACCATCGCATCTAAAAACTTAAGCTGTTAGTGACGTGAATCATATAATACTTGTATATCCAATAGGTTTGGTTATCGAATCAAGAACACTCCTAATCCAATTATTCATGGAGACTATTTTTTTTGAACACTTATTTTTCATCCTAATCAACATAAAAATCCTTGTAACTTGCATTTTGTAACTGTATAGAATTCAAAGAAATCAGTAAATCAAGTTGATGATTAAGCTGATATGTCGTTGAATTTATTTGAGAATTATGCTAAGCTGTAGGCAAGCTTATAGTTTGTAGCGTTACTATTAGCTGGTTTTCTTATGTTTCTCTGTCTCTTTCTTTGTGGGTAAGGATTTCCTTTCAATTTGAAATCAAGATTAGCTTCACTAAACATTCAAGAGTTCAGGAGAGATTTCTGTTTAATTTGGCATTGCGCATATTAATTTTCATGTCAATTATTCGTCACTTACTAAAATTGAGTATTTTACGGCAATATGCAGAGCCATATGGGTGATATGTTTGCTCTCCATGCAACTACAATGGCCAATACTCTGGCAACTCCCATCATAGTTTTCACAAGAACAGGTTCCATGGCAATAAATTTGAGTCATTATCGGCCATCTTCGACAATATTTGCTTTCACAAATGTGTAAGTTTTTATACTATCAGTATTTCCAATCACCACAATACGCGTGTGCGTAATAAAAGTTAGCAGTTTGAATCTGACCCTTTTTGTCCTCTACTTCCATGGACGAATCCTCTATAAAAGCTTGCGATGTTATGTATTTGTTCGTTGCTGTCTGGAAGTAGGATGCTGGAATATTTTGATCGTTTCTTTATGTCACTTATATTTTCCTAGCAAGCATATCTAGATTCTGCACTTGAAATTTTTTAGGTGTTTCAATGACTTTTGGATTGAGTGTGGGGGGTAAAATATGGTTTTTGTACAGTTAAAAAATCAGTTGAAACCAAATGAAATTTTAGCGACATAGTTTTGAATTTCGATATTCCAAACTTTGTGGAGGGGGTGAAGTGTTTTCCATTTCTTACCTTCTCGAAGGTGAATTGATTAATTCATTGTGATGTAATTGGCTGTTTATATGTAATCACACCTGTTCTAGCATATGTTTGCATTTAGTTAAAACCTGCTTTTATTCACAGAGAACGGGTGAAGCAGCGACTTATCCTTTATCACGGTGTTATGCCTATACATATGGAGTTTACGGATGATGCGGAGGAGACCTTTTCACTAGCGGTGAAGCTTTTATTGGTAAAATGATCTTTCTCGAATTTTTCTCAATCTAGCTTGCTTTATTCGTCCATGATCATTTAAAGTTAGATGTTTTTTTTCCATTTAATCTTCAGAGTAAGGGTCTGGTGGTTGAAGGGCAGTACGTCACTCTAGTCCAAAGTGGAGCACAACCCATCTGGCGTCGAGAATCAGCTCACCATATTCAGGTTCGCAAAGTGCAGAGCTGATTTATGTACTAGAAAAGCTTGCACTGTATAAAAACCGTCATCATATTATTTGCAACATGTTGAACTAAAATTGAATGAATTAAATAGTTTGGATTTTAATTTTTTTTTTAATCATCTGGACCCGTTTGAGGCTTTTGAGGGTTCGATAACGAACCCTATCAGTTTTGTTTCGATATGAACGTACACTAGCGAGAGCGACATTGAGACTTACAGTTTAGAAGTACAAGAAAGGAGTTCAAATTTGTTATAGTGTGATTGTGGTTGCTTGCTTCTTTATCTTGAGCAGTAAACTGAGTCACCTTCAAGGAAGGGATTAATATTTCATTTCATTTATAATGTCATCATATTTTATAGTTTTCGTTAGGCACTAAATTAATTTCCAGTGTAATTGGAGGTTCTACACTTCCCCATATACTCTATACCATTAGGCTACGTTAGATCGAGCAGTGAGCTGACCAGCTCATCTCTCAACACTCTTGGAGTACTCGGCGCTGAATTTTTTTTTCTTTTTTTTTTTCTTTTTTTTGTCTTTTTTTCTT